TCCACGCTGTTCCCTCTTCAATCCATCGTGGTTAATTCATATAGAATTCATCACGACGCGACGGCCTCACTGACCTGCTTTCATTCTCACCTACCATCTCTCACTGGTGCCCTGTCAAAAGCGCAGGTGGATCTTCCACTCCATTTTCCCTCATAGAAAAGCCATTAATCTCTAATAATAATAACTCTTCTATCCATGATAATTAAAGTTCGTATGGGGATTATCAATAACATTTCCCATCACTCGGAAAACAAGGTAATTGACTTGCGTGATGAAAAAACTACCGACCATTCCTTATTGGGGACATTTTATGGCACTACGACTTATAAGTTGTTATTACGATGTATTTTATTTTGACGTAACAGCGGGAAGGGTTATAAAGTTGGGGATTGAGTGGCTTGGCGTCAAGATATCTTATGGCGTCATGGGTCATCTTATTTGGGGCGAACATAAAAGATACGGTGGTTATGAACATTGTGTATTATGTACTTATATATTATATTAGTGTAGTAAGAGAGTACTTCGTAATAAAGCCATCTTATAAAATATAAGCCCATTATAATAATAGCGCCTGCAGAACTTCCTTCCTTTAGAAACTAGACTGTTACCGGCTCAATCTCTTCTGGGAGAAAAGGGTTGTTAGCAATGGAGTTTGACAGCCCTATTGCTAGCAATATGCCCTCTCAGGTCGACCTTCACGTGTTTTCCCCGAAAACCATCGTGAACAATTCTTGTTGAATTCGTCACGATGGGCTAACTGACCTGTTTCATCCTCACCTATCACCTTTCACTGGCGTCCCACCTGTGTATACCAATAGCGCGGGTGTGGCTATCATTCCATTGTCACCCATTAAGAAAAACTCTTCTTCCTCTCCTAGACTATGCTGATATTGCCTACCTAGATACCACACAGGAGCTTGTTGATAAGCTTGAGCTACTGCAAAACCAATGTATTAGATACATCTATAACCTTAGAAAGTTCGACCACACATCTGATCATCGTAGTTAACTCAAGTGACTTCCCATCAGGCTACGGATATATTCAATTCTTACTAAATATTATTTAGTTTATTTTTTAGGTGTACAATTTTTACCTTTATACTTTGTACCTACAGTTTCTTTCGGCTTCTCAAAGGCTGACTGTAGGAGATCCCTTTATGCGATAAGTCCGCCATTGTGTATTAAATCTTTTAATGTATCCAATATAAATTATGTACAATAAATATTTTACAATACTAGATAACAATATAAATAAATACATGGAAGATAAGTAAGAGGAAACAAAATTTGTAGATACGACTTCGAGTTCTAAATCTATAAAATTTAATATAAAAATTGTACACTTTTTACTGTCATTATTTTATTATATGTTACTCACATGAACTGATATATTTAAAAAAAAAAAAAAAAAAACTATTTGACACTGTAAAGGGTCGCTAGTCCTTACATTGGTAAGAACAAGCGATTTAAAATTCAGACTCAAAAATCTGAGTTTGTTATTCCATGGCACGTTAACAGGTTTTTGTTTGATGGGTTAAAATGGTATGGTAACTCCACCTACGATACGCTGGCGGAGCACCAGTGAAGGATGATCAATGAGAATGAAAACAGGCCAGTTAGCCCATCATGATAAATTCATCAGGAATTAACCATGATAGTTTCCAGGGGGAACTGCGAGGAAGTCGACCTGGTTGGGTATATTGCTAGCAATGGGATTCTCAGTCTCCATTACTAACAATCAATTTCCCCCCACGATAACAAGTTAGTCAATTGTCATGAAACTTGACGTATACCTACGTCTCTAACTATGTATTTGGTATGAAGGAAAATATAATCAATCCGTTTAAGCAGTTGTGTTTGCATAGCTGTGATTCGGTTTGAAGAGTAAAATATGGCAATGGAATTACAGAGTACAGAAGCATAATACCTTAATCTTCAGGAATGGCAACGCATAAGGGTATCATATACGAAACTGTTTACTCTCTACTCTGTTACATCCTTGGTACTGTTCATATTTTAGGCGATGGTTACCACTTTCCAATAGGTGGGCCGCCGGCTTGTTTGCCGTTCTAAGTTACTTAAAAAATATACCCAATCTCGCGGATGATGTCGCCACTAAAAACTAGTTTTGAAATAGTGATTTCGAGAAAGTAGTACAAAAATATTGCATTTTACCTCCTTCGGTTTTTAACTCGACAGGAAAAAAAAAACAAATTCCTTCAACGTTAAGGAAAGTTACATAAGCAGTTAAAATCCTTTGAGTTGTCCCTTCGTGTCCCGAGCTCGAGAGCTTGAAAGATCACTAAGTGCATCTTACGGCTCCCGACATTCCTTTAACTTTTAAATCCTCAAGATTATTCCACTTTGTTTACTGCAAAGCTTAAGATTTTAAGTGTTGCAGCATAGAACGGTTTTTATTCTAGTTAAAAAGTCAACGATATCTCGAAAGGGCATGTCAACGACTTTTATTTTTTTTTTATACATACATGTCATATCCATCACACCTGTCTCTCATTGGGATAGGCAGAACATATGAGTATTTCACCGTATTTTACAGTATAAAGATTTTCCAGCGGTTCATTCCTTACGAATACTTTACAATGTGACGTAGAATTCACCGCTAATCATTTCCAACGAAAGTTAATTTATTATGGAGGCCAAGGTTGAATAATTTGAAATTACTTCGCTAATAATATTGCTTCATAGAAATATAATTCTATTTCCAATTTCAAAGGAAGTTCCCTCACTTCCCATACAGTTATTTTAACAATGTCTCCGCATAATTTCATTCAGTTCCTAGAGGATTAATGATTAAGGTTTAAAAAAAAACAACGATAAAATTTTTATTTCTTTTATTTTTCTAATCCAATAAATACAAATTATAAAGAATTAATAAGAATATAATTAATTATATATCATCATCATCATCATATCATTATATCATATCGCATGCACCCACGCACGCATGCACGCGCCCACGCACGCATGCACGTGTTAGATATTTATTTTAAATTATATTAATTTTCTTAAACATCTTGTGTCAAAATGTGTACCTACATTTATTAATAAAAATCAAAGTAACTACTTTAAATATAATAAAATATTAAAATTGTTATTATACCGAATTTGTTAATAAATTATTCTTGTAATGTATATAGAACACTAATTTATATTTTAAATGATTTTATAATTATTTATAATCATGAGACTTAAATAAAAAGTAATGAAATTGTAAGAACACGTGGTCTCGCTAACTTGTTCACTCGAATTCGGCCCTGTAGATATAAAAGATTGTTATTTGGGTGGGGAGACACTTCTTGTCCAACCGTTGAACAGAGCAGGTCTCCCTGACGTATCAAGAGTGAACAAGTATAGTAAACCACGTGGTCATTATATAAAATATATCACAATCATTGTTGATGGAAATCCTAAAGAAGCTATAGTTAAATAAGTTTCAATGGATTAACAGAAGTTGGGTATTTATGTTATATTATTTGTTATATGTCATTATTGTTATTTGAAATAACAATAATGGCAGAAGATGTCAGTATTGTAGAAAATAAACATAAGGTTCTAAATTCTTAATCAAGCTAATTAATAATAATAAATAAAATTTACATTATTTTATCATTTAAATATTCAATAACTGCATAATAGCATTTTTCTAAGAGAAACTAACTTTTAAATCTCTTTATCGGAAGATTCTTTATATCCGGAAGTAACTTATTACATTTACATACATTTCCATTATTTCACATTAATAATAAATTAAGAATAATAATCAATTAATTATAATAACAAATACTAGCATCTTTACATTTAGTATACCAATATTGTATTATATTTGTAACATAACATAACTGTTGTCAAGTGCCACCGTTGCTGATTTGATTTAACTTCAAAATGGTGGTTTGTCATTTCCGGAATAATTATTTACCCGCCAAAAATAGTCAACATAAAAACTAGAAGTAACGACCAACAGTTGACAGTTGTTGATTAAACATTGACCAGTAAAGACGTATAATTTGGTAAGTCACTTTAATGCAAATGTATTTTAATTGCAAAGTTTTGGAACTGTTAATACATGAGTTGGATTCCCCTATAATGACACGAGTTTTATTTCATAACCACCGACCTCTTAAACAAATTACTTTGTAAGTATATGTAAAAATAAATTGGACGTAAATTAATTATATAAGTACAAATATAAGTACATATATTTTTAAACCATTTAATCATAACAAATTGTGAAAAAATTTAAATGAAGGTAAGACGAAAGTAAACTCTGTTGTACAAGTAAATAAAATTATCGAAATTGATTTAAAATTGGCAGTTATCACCCGAAAAGGGAACCTTCCAGTTTAAGTATCGCACTAACGGAGTCGAACAGACGGACAGATGTCAATTCTAAAAATAACTGATATGGGTTTCCTTCTTACTTCCTTAATCGCTTAAAAATCTTGTATGTACAGATACTATTTTATTATAATATAGCTATTATTATTATTTTTAAAATTTTTGCTAAATTCACATCTCCCCTCTTAAGGAGAAGAGATGGCAAACTAACCCCCGACAGAAGCACAGTCTGTCGGGTTCAGGGTTCCAGGGAGAGAAACCGGCGTACAATGCGGGCAGTATCTAAAAGCACCGCTTTCTGCATCTTTCCCGGGAGTGAGCCGTCTCGGAATTATTATTATGGAGAGACGGACTTTTTTAGTAAGAAAAACCTATGACACTGCGACCTTTCTATGATCTTTCGTGCTCGTCCTTTTTCTGAAGTTCACTTTAATATGTTTTTTGTAGCGATGTTTTTTTTTTTATCTCATCAGGTATAAAGTTTATTTTCCAAAGGAGATATATCGTTTATTTATGGATGGGCTACAGGTTTAAATTAAGTGTTGCAGCATTTCTTCCTCGTTGTGACAAAATTTGCAAACACTTTTTGGGCATAATCCTATTTGGACCATGTGCTTATATAATAAGTTTTATCTTTGTTACAGGACTGGTCCAAAATGGCTGGAAAGCTATTGTTTTTTTGCGCATCGCTGTCGGCACTGAATATTGGTAAGTTGCACCCGAGTTACTTTAATTATCGTGAACGAAACTATAATATATATTGTTTTGGTTGACAAAGTTTTTTTTTTATACAACATAGAGTGGCAAACAAACCGACGGCCCTCCTGATGGAAAGTGGTAACCGTCGCCTATAGACATGAGCAGTACCACGGACATAACAGTATACTGTTAATGATACCCCCATGATGCCCCTCATGCGTTGCTATTCCTGAGGACGTAGATGTTATTCCTCTGTACCCAGTAAAATCACGCCATATTCTACCCTTCAAACCGAAACACAGTCATGCAAACACAACTGCTTCACGGTAGAAACACGAATGGGACAGAGGTACCCAAGCAATTGATTGTACAAAGTCTACCTCTGGTATAAAATCCCTCTCGTGGTCAAAGGGTAAAAAATTTAAACTTTTAGAAGATATCGTAAGTACACAGTCTAGTTTAACTACCAGTTTCAGCTTACGAGTCGAAAAAGTGCGACTAGTTTCGAGACCATTCGGGACCCTTAACCGTGCCGGCAAGGCCTACAGCTCGCACTCAGCGAGCCGAGGCGTACAGTCAGGTTAGAGCCCGCGTAACAGCCGCTCACGATTAAAGGTCCTGAATGATCCCGAAACTAGTCGTGATTTCTTGATCTAGCTACTCGTAACTTAAACCGGTACCTTTAAGAAAAGAGTATATTCCTTTTTAAAAGGCCGGCAGCACACCTGCTATGCCGCTGGTGTTGTGGGTGATCATGGGCGGCGGTAGTCACTTACCATCGGGTGAGCCGCATGCTCGTTTGCCCCCTGCGTTGTAAAAAAAAATAGTTATTACATTCAAATACTTTCAGAAGACTAAAAAATCTTCTCAAACATATCATTTTTGACTTAATTTTTTTTTTTAATGTATTTAACCTTACTACAAGGAGTAATATTATAAACTAGCTTTTACATGCGACTTTGTTCGCGTAATCTATGTTAACGATTAACTATATGTTTACTGATAAGGAAGAAAGTAGCGTATATATCCTTCTTCATCTCATATAATGCATACATATCAAATTTCATAGTGATTGTATGATCAATTAAGGCGCTATAAGATAACAAACAAACAAACTCAGTATCACATTTATAATATAATATTAATAATGACATGAAAGTGACTTTAAGTATAATGAGTAAATTTGATATACACGATATATATATATATATATATATATATATATATATATATATATATATATATATATATATAGATTAAGAGATTTCTCCTAATTCAAGTCATGTGACTTACAAAAGAAGTTGAATAATTCGCCACCTGATAAGATCCATGGTGTATAACCGGGAACGTGATCCGGGTTCGAATACTATCAAACGAGGCATTTGTTTTCCATGTCTGATTAATGTCGGTACCTATAGATAGATAGAGACAGATATAGATTATATCAAGATTTTTATTTTTTACTTCAGAAAGAAAAATATGCTGAATTCCTTTACATATTTCAAAGCACTTTAAAAAATGTATTTGTGTATGTTTGTTATCTCGTACCTTTATCAGTTATAAATAGATTTTGAAATATTTTGTTTATTTATAGATTTATACGTTGTTTTTTCTAATTCTGAATTGATTTTGGTAAAAAGATAAATAGATACTCTTTATTGTTTCCTCCAAAGGATTACATTAGTAAACTTATTATAAATACAAACAATTACAAGAGAAACTATTACACTGAGAAAACAATGAGCAGCCTTATCGCTAAAAGATGATGAAAAGTGGTAACCGTCGCCTATAGATATGAGCAAACTGTACTGTTTCAAGTATTACCTGTCAAGAGGTAATAAACAAATAAATAAGGGAAAAGTTTTCTCCTGCGAACGCTTAGGTCGTGAAATGAGCTTCCTGCCGAGGTTTTTTCTGAAGACTACAGCATGGGGTATATTCAGGGTCGGTAACGTGTATATGACACCCCTAGTGTTGTAGATATCCATAGGCTATATAGTGACCGTTTACCATCAAACTGGCTATATACTTGATTGCCACTTTCGTGCTATAAACTCACATTCGCATTTATAATATTAGTGAGAATTTAAGCGATACGTACTAAGTAACTAAGGGAACATAATGGTCAAGAGATGAGCAGTAGTGTCTCTCTTAAAATATCATCGAAGCTCAACTGCTAAATGTGGCAACCACTGGCAACCCCCCTCCCCGCCCTTATGGGGGAGGCCTATGTTCAATAGTGAAGGTTAACGCATGACACGATACGACACGACACGACACGACACGACACGATACGACACGACACGATACTATGTAACTAATTAAATACACAATCACTATAGTAACCTTTCACATCAGGTCAAGTTAAAGGACCAAATAATCGACCCTTTTACGTGTAATAATGTAATTATTGAAAGAGCTACTATTTCACTAATTAAGTAATGGGATCCGAAACGCTCACGTGGCAGCCCTGTTTTTTTTTAATGGATGATAATGGAATGGTAACCCCGCCTGCGCTATCGGTATACCCTGCTAGGGCACCAGTGAGGGATCATAGGTGAGGATGAAGCAGGTCAATTAGTTCGCCGTAACGAATCTAACAATTAAAGCAATCACGATGTTTTCCAGGAGGAACCACGAAGAAGTCGATCTGATAGGGTATATTGCTAGCAATGGGGCTAATAATCCCCATTATTAGCAATCCCTTCTCCCCCCTCCTATTCCTGATAATTCAGGCGATTACAGGCTACAGTGATCGTTTACCATCCATCGGGCTTTGTGCTTGTTTGCCATCTTCGTGGTACCTTGCGTTCGTGCGTGCGTGCGTGCGTGCGTGCGTGCGTGCGTGCGTGCGTGCGTGCGTGCTTGCGTGCGTGCGTGCGTGCGTGCGTGCGTTCGTGCGTGCGTGCGTGCGTGCGACGGCGTGCGTGCGTGCGTGCGAGCGTGCGTACGTGCGTGCGTGCGTGCGTGCGTGCGTGCGTGCGGCCTGCGTGCGTGCGTGCGTGCGTGACGGCGTGCGTGCGTGCGAGAGTGCGTGCGTGCGTGCGTGCGTGCGTGCGGGCGTGCGTGCGTGCGTGCGTGCGTGCGTGCGTGCGTGCGTGAGTGCGTGAGTGCGTGCGTGCGTGCGGCCGTGCGTGCGTGCGTGCGTGCGTGCGTGCGTGCGTGCGTGCGTGCGTTCGTGTGGCCTGCGTGCGTGCGTGCGTGCGTGCGTGCGAGCGTGCGTGCGTGCGTGCGTGCGTGCGGGCGTGCGTGAGAGCGGGAGTGCGGGCGTGCGTGGGTGCGTGCGTGCGTGCGTGCGTGCGTGCGTGCGGGCGTGCGCGCGTGCGTGCGGGCGTGCGTTCGGGCGTGCGTGCGTGCGTGCGTGCGTGCGTGCGTGCGTGCGTGCGTGCGTGAGTGCGTGCGTGCGTGCGTGCGTGCGTGCGTGCGTGCGCACAAGTAGTCTATAACCGTTTGCAGAGTTTCATTTATATCCATCCAAAAATTCATAATAATCGTTCCAACGCTTTAGACATGAAAGCGTAACAAACAAACAAACTCACTTTCACATTTATAATATTGGTAAAATATTATTCAAATAATCCAACATTTTTACAAACTTTTAGAGCAATATGATTTCTCTCAGTGTGAAGTTCTCTTCATTTGTGACTAGACTCGAGGGCGACGATAATTAATGGCAGAAAACAACTGTAATACAGATAAAAAAAAAAACGAAAACAAAAAAAAACTATAATTTACTCGAACAAATTCGAGTAGCATCCAGTGATGAAATGGAAATAATAAGAAATATCATTGGACGACACTCTCTTTGTTTACAACTATTCTCACGAATTCATTGGGCTGTAGTAATTTTAATGAGGCACCCCGATCCCGGCATGGTCTCGTCGCTTTTTCACCACACAGTATTATCTCAAGGGGAGATGGGGGGGGGGAGGAAAAAAAAACGGGGAGATAATATTCCGATATTTTGGCTGGAAATATTTTCCTTTGATCTCTTTTTAATGATAGAAAATGCGTGCGTGTTCGTGAATAGACGAGCCTTGTACCCGTTTGTTTGGTTGATTTTTATATTATTCTCTCTTGATATTCGCAAATATAAATGAAAATATTTTGTTTGTGTTTTAATGTGAAACGGAAAGGGTGTATATATATGTACAGACGTATGTACATATTGAATGGCCGTATGGTCCCAGCATAAAATAGGCCATCCCTTTCTTCCCCATGGACGTCATAAGACTACAAAAGAACGGCGAGGGATGGGCAGCAGCGTCCCTCTTTTCCCATCTCTAAAGCCTAACTGTTGTTGCCAATCCGCCGGGGGAGACTAATGTTCAGCAGTGGACAGTTAATCCTCTGACCGGGCATCCCACGATTTCCGCGTGCAGTATCTACTAATTTAACTTTACGTATTTTTTTTTTATACCACTGAGGTGGCGAACTTTGCCGACCCTGAAGAAACCTCTTTACCCCCCTTTTGAAGAACCCCGTGCTGTAGTCTCTCGGGAAAACCTCCCGCGAAACGTATCCCGCGATTCAGACGTACTCGCATTTTTTTATGTTTATTGAAGTCGTTATACCACGATTTTTGTTTTGTTAGATTGATATTGTTTCTCAGAATGTCGGTAGATGGCTAAATACTCGTACTGCTGTTTGTTGTCAAAGCGATGTGTTTTGATGTTGTGAAAAAAAATACGCGGTCGAAGGGTTCAGGGCTGATATGATGATGATGATGATGATGATAATGATGATGGCTATATCTATAAGGTGTATAATATTTAAATACCTACATTTAGCCTAACTACTAATATTCTGTTGTGGCCAAAAACCAGCCGCGAGATTCCTTGACAGAAAAAACATAACATAAATAAATGAATAAAATTAATTCTGTCTGTCCATGACAATCATTGTTATTTAATATTTTAACTTAATAAATAACTACATAGAATCAGTGTCCCTAAAATAAAAAGTTAATAAAAAAAGTCCACTTTTCTTTTTGAAAGATGACGTGACGA